GATTTTTCTGCAAGTAAACTTACCTAGAAACTTAGGTGTGTTAAACTAGAGTAGATGTCTTCTCTAACCAAAAGTCTCAGAAAATCAAAGATCACAGATCCTACTTTTTTGAGTATTTCTGTAGTACTCACTCTACTTCAGCACTTGTTCTTGGGGAAGGTAAATCTTACATGCAGATCTCAGCTATATACTGACCGGCTTGTGACCTTGGACTAAGGTATGAAATTTTCTGTGCCTTTGTTTCCTCACCTGAAGATGAGGATAATTGTGTCGGTTTAAAATAATTGTATCTATGAATGTGGAATGAGTTACTTCATGTGCACAGAGCAGTGCTGACATGTAATGAATTTATGAGTGTCAGCTGTTAATCCTATCTTTGGATAGCTATGAGGCAGTGATACTTACCTGATATTCTAAATGAAAAGGCATAAGAGTTTTGGACTAAATTTAATGCTAAGGGAAAGAATAGCACAATTTCCTGAAGTAGTGAGTCTTTTTAGCTTAGTTCATGCTTTCATCCTTAAAGTATGTTAGAGATCAACTGAGTTAATTTCTTACCCTTTAGTTGTTATACTTAAGAGTAAGTGTTTTGTTTTATGTTGTGTTGTATTGTTTTGTTTTGGGATCAGGGCTCACAGTATCACCTTGGCTGGCATAGAACTCACTCTTTAGATAAGGAAGGCTGGTCTCAGACTCACCAAGATATGTCAAGATAACCTCTGCCTCTTGAGTGTTGGGAGCAATGACATGTACCACTCCTCCTGGCCTAATCATGTCTTAAGATATTTTTTAGGGGCTAGAGAGATGGTTCAGCGATTAAGAGAACTTCCAGAGAAAGCTCACAACATGCTAACAAGCTGTGCATTCAGTTCCAGGGTTCCTGATGTTCTCTTCTGACCTCCTTGAGCACTTCATGCACATGGTGTACATACATTTAAGCAAAATGCCTATGCACATAAAATAAATAAATCTCAGGAAAGAGATTGTCATTTCAAAATAAATAAATCTAATGTTTTAGTTTTAAAAAAGAAAACTTATTTAGATATTTCCCACTACATTGTAAAGTTAAAATTTCTCTTAATCAGATTTAGAAACATTAAAGAAAAGGCAAGGTTAACCACACAGAAACAGTAAATAGTGATTATAGATAAATGTTTTGCAAGTTTTTTTTCTTAATTTTCTACCACGAATATCTTTTATCATTACCTGATTATCATATTTGTTCCAGAAATGTTAAAATAATTCTTTCAAAATTTGCATATTAGATACAAATTGAAACAACTTCATAGTCTTCCTGATCAAATTCAGTACTTTGTGATTAATTACATACTGTTTGTGTCTCTGCTGCTAGATAGTTTCCTAAAAGACGTTTAATGCACTAGTGAGCCATAAACTCAGATTGATGGAATTTGCATTTCTGGAATTACCAGTTTAGTGAAAGAGACTAAATAGACTCAACTTCATAAATTTAAATGTTATATTAAAACTTAAACTGTGGGGCTGGAGAGATGGCTCAGAGGTTAAGAGATCTGACTACTCTTCCAAAGGTCCTGATTCCAATTCACAGCAACCACACTGTGACTCACCACCAATTGTAATGAAATCTGACGCCCTCTTCTGCCTGTGAATATATATGGAGAAAGAACACTGTAAACATAACAAATAAATAAATCTTTAAAAAAAATTAAACTTTTGCCATCAGAAAGAATTCACTAAGATGGGTTATGAGAAACTGGCCTTTCAGCACATAGTAAGTCTGTGGATTTGTGTAGGAGAATGTTTTGTTTCTACTCTATAATGTGTTTTTCACCATTATTTTAAGTATACATGTTGAATGTCTGCATTTTACCTGAGTGATAGTTAATATTAATTACTTTGTTCTGAAAGGGCAATGATGGCTGTAACATTTCTATCTATACACAAACCATAACCATGAAAGGAAGAATTAGAACAAGTTCATGTTACCAGCAGTTTCGGGGGGATGGTCTATAAGGCAATAGACAGAATTGACACGAGAGCATCTTAAGGAAAAGGCATTTTCTTTTAAAGTACCTATCATTTTTATTTTCAATAAACCCCACTGTTGGTCAAGGGTACATTCACACTCTGTACTGCTTGTGAATGAAGTATTAATGTAAAAATGCATCCTCATCAGTCAGTGGGGCATTTAATGAATTTCAGTCCAAAGGAAGTGGTTCACAGCACAGCCATAACATGCTACTCTCACTGAATCTTCTCTGATCTCAGAAAGAGAAAAGTGTGAGGCTCAAACTTGATTATCAACTTGACTAGGCAGAGAAACACTTAGAAAGTTTGTGAAGTGTTCCTACCTTGCTCCTTCTCCCTCTACATCTGTGTGTACCTGTAGGGGTCTTTCCAGATACGATTAAATGGAGAAGACCTAGCCTGTATGTGATTGAAAGGCTGGGGGTTTAGAAAGGAAGGGGGAATGAGGGAACAGAAAGCCTGCTAACTCGGGCATTCTTTTTCTCTGCTCTTTGGCCACCTGTGTGAGCTGCTCTGCTCTGCCCTTCCCTGCATGATGGACCGAAACGTCTGAAACCCTGAGCCAAATAAACCCTTCCTGCCTCGAGACAGCAGTGTAACTCTTTCCATACAGTATTTCTTCACTGGATTCTTTTTTACCTTTATTGTGGGCCATTCAGTCCACACTCTGTATCTAACACTTTCCATCCATCAAACACAGTAAATTTCCCCTTTATTCCAGCCCTTTACTTTTTGTTGGAATATTCTTTTTCTTTAAACCAAATCACAGACATTAATACCAGTATAAATTCCTCTCCCTCTTTCACAAAATTCTGTAGTTTTGTGGTTTTGTTGTCTCAGAATTGTCATTTCTTAAAGATGGTCTCATTCTCTTTGTTCATGTCACCCCGCTAGCAGTACAATACAAGTTCTTCTCTGCAAATGATGACTAGGCTGGGTCAGGTGTTTGAGATATCCTGTTACTTTATCTCCAGATGTTAATGATGTTAGTTTATGTTTTAGTATGTGGCAATTGGTAAACATAGAAATGGAATTTAGTGATGTAAATTCTGTATTGTACTATCCAAGTGATCCTACATTAAACCCTGCCACGTGGTCTCTGTAGCTCTTCGCTTGAAAACCTTCTATATCAGTGTATTTTCAAAATAGTTTTAGGAAAGATGCCACAAAGATGGGTCTCCAAAACTTGAAAAGTATAAATAAGGCTTGTTTTGTTTTGTTTAAAGAACTGCATTTGCAATGTAGACTGGCTTTCCCCCTTAAATAGGCAGTCTTGATCTTTCTTAATAAAATGTAAAGATAACATTCTGACTAGGAGTTTAGTTCAGTGGTTCATATATTACATTGCATGTGAGAGGTCATGTGTTTGATTCTCCTGCACTACTCCAAAAAAAAAAAAGTTAATGTACAGAACACTTGTTCTTTATTGGGGAAATATGACTATTTAGTTTAAAATACTTATAAAGTTAAATTATATTACAGTCAATTCTGCCAGGTAGGGTATGCATGTGTGTGTGTATGTGTGTGTGTTCTGAAAAGTGGCATCTCAGACATAATGTCTCATGGTCGTTTCCCATTTTTGTTTCTGTCTTAATTGTTTTTAAGGATGAAAATGTGTTAGTGTACTTGTATTGATAGTGCTTGTGATTTATAAATTTGTGTATGAATTTGAAGTACTTATCATTTGATGAACTGAAGATAGGCTTGAATACTGCTAGACCAAAATGTTTTTCAACTCTTCTGACCATGTCCAAACTTAAGCAGTATAGGAAATGCATAAGAGAGGAGATAAGACAACATAAGAGAAGAATCTAGAATATGTATTTTTATGGAAATTAGAATGCCATGAAGTCAACTATATTGATGCTTCTGTTTACAGTCAATGCCTGAGGTTTTGATATAGTTTTTCTCGCTTTAAAGTTAAATGAAGATGAAAGTTAAAATTTATTTAACAAAATATATGGTGTAATCGGGGACACAACACAATTTCACCAAGCCGTTACCTATTGACATTTGCATTCTCAGCACTGGTGTTCTTTGTAAAAAACTTTTTTCAGTGCCCTGGGGCTAAATAATGACTTGTTTTCAGTCAGGTTTTCTTTTTATTTTTTCTTTATTTTTTTAATGTAAGCATTTTTTGGTAATGTTTAGAAATCTTTCTTGTGCTAATTGACATTCACAAAAGAGTGTTCTTAGACTCGGGAAACAAACTAGAAATCGATATTCAAAGCTTATTCATCATTGTAGATTCCTGTAAGTCCAAAGTAAGCACGTTCTTACTACTTACGTTAGTAATCAAGCTTAATCTTAATGATCTGATTCTCCATCAGCTGAAATTAGTAATATAGTGAGATCCCTAAAAATGAACTGAATTGCTCCATTCACCCTATATTTCTGAAATATTCCTAAAGAGATTGGTGTGGTTTGTTGTTAAAAACAAACAAATAAAAACTTCGAACCTTTCTTAAAACCTGGCCTTTATATATGCATAGTCTTCTTTGTTTCCCAGCAGAGACACTGATGACATGCAACTTACACAGGTGCATTGCTATACATCCATTACATCTTTAATGTTCTGTTGTTACTAAATGAAATTCTTAATATTTTTTAAAGGAATGGTGCATATTTCCTTCTTAGACAGGGTTCTAACAAATTATGGAAGGCATTCCAATTCCCAGAGACTAATTGTCAATAAGCATTGTGATACAAACTAAATATGCTGTTCTTTGTTAAAACAAGGCTGTGACCCAGTAAATTTCTTAAGCGTAGAAGGAATCTTTATATATATATATATATTTTTTTTTTATTTGAATAGAGTTGGGGGAGGGTCAAATTTTATTTCATGGTAAACCTTATAAATCTTAAATAATCTTGGTTTTTTGCTGATTAAGTAAAATGACATTTTGAGTCATACAGAGCTTGCTTTAAAATATAGAATACACTATTATTTACATTTGACTCAAAACAAGATTTAACTCATTTTGCCATTACAGGTTATCAAGTTATGCCCAACCAGCAACAAAACTACCAAGGAATGGTTGGAGTTCAGCCACCCCAAAGTCAGAACCTCGTGGGAGGCCAGCCAAACAGCACTGGAACTCATATCCAAGGAGTGGTCATCCCCTACCCTTCAGTGCCATCATATCAGGTATGTTTTCTCTCACTTTCTTTAAAGATAGATAATTTCTGATCAGCTGAATCTATAGCTACGGTAAGGTCACTCCTATAATCCTGCCCTTGAAATGCTGAGGCCAGAAGATTGTTGGTTTAAAGCCAAGTCTGGGTTTAGAAAGCTCCATGACAGCTTGGCTAGCCAGAGGGTTCCTGCTTCAAAAAATAAAAAGCACGACTATAGTATATTATTTCTGTTCTTTTGTGTCTTTGGTTGTTTTTAATTTTTGGTTTTGGTTTGAATTTTTGAGAAAGAGTTTTATTACTGTAGCCTAGGCCAGCTTTGAGTTCACTGTGCAGCCTCAGCTATATTCAAGCTTATGGTTCTCCACAGGCATATGCTATCACATTCAGTTACTCTCTTCCTTTAATGTTAGGGAAGTGCTTTTGTGAGACAGACAGCATTATCTTCTTAAGAGTTTTATGATTTCAACTTCATTTATCTTTATTGCTTTATTCATTTGCTTTATTAATATTTAGAATATTTGAACCACATTGATAATGGCCTATAAGCTTTACCTGGTACTGTGTTTCCAACTATACAGCTATATAAGCAAATGTCCTGCTAAATTGTTCACTTCCCTAGAAAGCCTACTGTGGGAAGAAAGATAGGCAGGAAAATAGAAGTGATAAATGTTTGATATAATAAGATGGGTATGTCAACAACAAATCCGTATTTGTAGAATTTGTATTTATGTGCAGTTTTCCAAACAAGACTACTGTTTACTTCAGTCCCAAAATGGTATGATTTATTCTGTATTTAAAATGCCATGGTAGGCTAGTTATGGTGACACACACCTTTAATCCAAGTACTCAGAAGGCAGAGGCAAGTGAACCTCTGTGAGTTCAAGGCCAACCTGGTCTATGTAGTGAGTTTCAGGACAGCCAGAGCTATACTGTCCGACCCTGACTGTAGTGAGAGCTGCGGGCTGTATTCGCCACCCAGCTCCCACCACCGGCTAGCTTTACCCGAAATAACAACACACAAACTGTATTCTTTTAAACACTGCCTGGCCCATTAGTTTCAACCTCTTAACCCATTTCTAATAATCTATGTAGCACCACGAGGTGCGCTTACCAGGAAGATTCTAGCCTATGTCCATCCTGGGTCGGAGTTCATTGCGTCTGCCTCAGAGAGCAGAGCTATTGCGTCTGCCCGGAAGATGGGAGCATGGCGTCTCTGCTCCAGAGAGCAGAGCTGTCGAGTCTGAGCTCACTTCCTCTTCCTCCCAGCATTCTGATCTGTTTACTCCTCCCACCTATGTTTTAACCTATGAGGGCCAGCCAAGCAGTTTCTTTATTACTTAACCAATGAAATCAACAGATTGATATATGACACTCCCACATCATTTCCCCTTTTTCTGTTTAAACAAAAAAAGGGAAGGCTTTAACTTTAACATAGCAAAATTACATATAACAAAACAGTTATCAAGTAAAAATTACAATAATCTTATCATAACTAAGGAAAACTATAACTAACTATTCTTTAACTCCATCAAAGACTCCAGAAAGATATACTATTACCTAAGCAAACGCAACTTTCAAAACTCTAGAAATGACAGAGACATCTTGCTGCCTGTACAGTCACCCAAAGTTCCTCTGTACCGTTGGGGCATCCATCTTCGGCCTACAGGCCCATAGTATCCAGAGACATTTCCATGAAGCAGGAAATTTCAAAGGCAGTCAGTCACTATCTGCTGTGTCCTGCAGAATATCTTCCAGACTCTTTCATGAATCAGGAACCCCGAAAGATCATCTCACCTTTAGGCAAGTCCTCTTTCTGTGGGTTCTTTGTGTTCAGTTTATGCAACAGTCCAGGCAAGAGCAGTTTCTTTCCCAAACGGCTATCAAACTCCATAAGGATCCTCTTCGATGCCCATCTTCCTCTTGAAGTAGATTGGTGCTGCCAGGCTCAGAGTGTCTCATTGTCATGAAAAGTCCTAAGTTATTAAAACATTTAAAATGCCATACTGCTTCCTGCTGAATGGGGGCTTCATTAATTAGGTCTTTCATGGTATAACCTGTGTGCTAGTTTCATCTCAGTTGGCAGTTGAGCAAAGCAATTTTCTGAAGGTGTTCACAGCAACCCTTCAGGAGGGTGTGGTCCATCATACCATATTGGGATAGAAGGCATCCACAGACTCTCACCATCTGTGAAAACAAAATAAGAAACTCCTTTCCAAAGCATCATGTCCTTAGATCCAAATTTCAAAGTCAAGGCATTTTCAAAATATCTATGATGGATTAGTTCAGCAGCATTTATAAACAAATATTTTTTAGCAGCTGTTGCTACTTCCTCAGCATTCAAACAATTCAAAGGGCATAATAGCATACAGTATCAAGAACTGTGTATTTTCCATCTTTGTGCACTTTATTTTAACCTCTATTTCATTAATTTTTACTTTTATTTTATATTCTCTGTATCTCTTTGACCTGGAATAACTCTGTAGACCAGGCTCTCCTTGAACTCTCAGAGATCC